ATATATATATATATATATATATATATATATATATATATATATACACATATTTGATCGATATTTGAAAAGAAAGTTAAGCACGAGGACACACGAGGAGTGTAATCCTGCGAGTAATTTTTGTTATTTCACAAACGATGGCTGGAAAGAACATCGCGGCCGCGAGATAAAGTCAGACGTTAGCCGTTGCACGGCGAGATTATCGTCACTGGTGGCAAAAGATAGAATGGCCGGAGCGTTTGCTCGCTCGTGAAAGTCGTGAACCTTCACCTGTAATCCGATTCTTCGCGCATCTGTTTCGTCCGCCGTATCGGAGGAACAAGAAAATAAAGAAAGGAACGGTGTACGAAGATGAATTGCGCGGGTTAATTCGCCCACTGCCGGCGGATTAACGACAAAAAGAGAAAAAAAAAGTTCCATAGACGTGTAACTGTAGACGTTGCCGGGTAGACGATTTATAGATCCTGAACAACGAGAGAACGGTACTGTACGCCAAGTGTTGTTAATGTCGAGGATTCTACACGCGAAACGGTGTACCATCGTGGCCACGGTGAAAGCACTGTTAATTGCTATTCGCACGATCGACTTGCCGAATTCGTCGAAATTTCACGATTCATCCTCAATTAGCACGTCCTCTGCCTCTACTCTTTGTAAAACAAATCTGACCACCGCAGTTTGACACGCACGTTTCAATAATTTTACACGATATGAGAGACACGCTGTTGTAATATTAAGTCAGCCGTGATTCGTTACTTCTTGTACGACTTACGACCTATTATAGAGAAGCGTATTATCTATTAAATGCACGCGAAAGCTCACTTCTGTCTGTGTCATCGACGCAATTCGAAAATCAGAAGTAGAAAGAAAAGCTTTCTGTTTCACGAGAAACCTACGAGAAGCGAGGAGGAAAGAGGAAGGATAAATCCGCTGCTGCAGAGCGGTGGATTTATTCGATTTGCTCGATTTCACGGGCAAGACGAGCGCAATTAGTTGCCAGCCTACCAGCTTGCAACCGATCGAAGCGAAGACGTATCCCCGGTTAATCGACTTGCCTAAACGAAGCGCGAATCGTCGGTCACGAGAGCGCGATCCTGTTTCTCTCTCTTTCTCTCACACACACACTCTGTGCAGCCGTGCGCACCTGTTGCGTCGTTGACGAAGGAAAGGAGGGCTCCTCGGTGAGTTCATCCAACCACCGTTGATCGAGCACACTCGCCTCGCCATTCCCCCTGATTTCAGCTGGGTAATTGCCGAGGCGCGAGCTGCCCGCGAGGGAAATCTCCACGTTCCCATCTTCCGTGCAACAATTGGAAACCGGATAGGACGGGATCGATCGGCGTTCAACGGATGCAAGTGAACGGACGGCCGGATGGATCATTACGCGGATCCGACGAGCCACGAACGTCACGCTGCAGTCGCATAAATATCCATAAACGTTCGTAGCCCGCGCGAGAACGAGAAAGCTCGGCCATTAATCATTAAGGATCCCGCGAGTCGAGCGTGAGCTGAGTCTTTCGTAGGCACGTAAACGCGCATGTGTGTATGTGTGTGGGTATGTAGAACAGGTTAAAATATGCAGCTGCACGTCGTGATTGGTGTACTCTGTGGTTAAGGTTGAAAAATAGACGGCTGTTAGCCGCGTGGAAGCGTGGAAGGTGTCCCAGATTTAAGCGCACACCGGTTGACACAAGGGGTAGTAGCGGGTTTCTGCATTTGAAAAAAGATTCTATCTATCGATTCTCTATCCGGATTGAATAATTGCTGAAATCGTGGCTAGAATCACCATGTAGGATCCGATCTATCCCGTCGTCCCTTTGAAAAATCACTTGAAGAGGCCTAATCGAATTCATCGGAACGACAGATACCACTCGGAGGTATATCTGTGGTCGAGCGTCAGAGTCGGTGAAACATGCGATTGCCGGCGGTTCGTAGGGACGTAACGGTAAAGATCGAGCAACAGCCGGCTAAAAGTTCGCGGCGTGAATATGTGTGCGCACACGCGTATGTCGCGGCGGCGTGAGTTTTCGTTTCACGGTCAGAAGGATAATCCTTCTCTCTGTCACTTCTCATCCGTCTTTCTGTCCCCCTGGCTAATTGAGTTGCTCCGGCCCCGGCCACGGATCTCTGTCACGTTTCATTTTCTCCCCGTCTCCGTTTCATCGTCGACATCCGAACGACGAAACCAACGTCGTTTCCAGGGATACGGTGTGTATAACTCTCCTTCGGCCATGGACG